CAACTCCACTTTTTCTTTTGATATTTTTAATATCTAAAAGAAATGGAATTCAGGAGTGGCAAGCAAGGGATCGACATTCCTCCCTTTGTATTAGTTATTAATTAAATCAGTACAAAACAGAAGACATCATGACCAGAACAAACTTCAACTAAAACAATGAGAAGTAGCAACACAACTTTTTTTTCTTTGGATATTTTTAATATATCTAAAAGAAAAGGAATTCAGAAGTGGGAAGCAAGGGATCGACACTCTCTAGTTATTAATTAAACCATGCACTAAGAGCATCCCCAGTAGAAAATGTAGATGCAAAAATAACTACTTTTTGCTTCTTCGAGGTCCAAAAATACATCTCCAACAGATGGTTTAGATGCAAAAAAAAAAAAATTACATCTCCGCCCCGGAGATGTAAACTACAACATCTCGTGGTCCAAATTTGCAGCAACACCTACAAGAAGAGATGAAAAACGCGACTGGCCGCCAACTGCCCAATTGCCATTCCTTTTCCTTCCGCGCGACTAGCCGCCACCCGACTGACTCCGCCGCCGGTGAAATCCACACCAAATCGATGCCGCCGCCCCCGCCCGACGGCTGCTGGGCCCGCCGCGACTGCACTCCCCTCCCCCCATCCCCCGCCGCCTGCCTCGCCAACCCGCAGCCGCCGATTCACTTTCGGCCACCGCCAAATCGAAGATTCTCCGGCGGCCGCGGGCCTGCCACGACTTTGCCCCCCGTTTCCCGCCGCCTGCCTTGCCGGCCTGCCACCTGCCCGATCCTCTTTCTGTCGACGGCTGATTATAGGCAGCTCCGGCGCCGCCCAGTGCTGCCGCAACCGCTTTGGCGTCCTCTCGACCTCCCCTACCCATTCTTCTCCGCCTCCGGCCGATTCCGGCCAACCCCGCCGGCCCCGGCGAGCTGCAGCAGGAGTGTGACCCGACCCGCAGCGGGAGCACACGAGCTTTGACAGTTCCGACAGTTTCGACAGTGCACTAGTTTTACATCTTCAAATACATCATCTGTTGGAGTTAGAGTTTTACATCACAAATATACATCATCTATTGGAGTTAGCTCTTTTTTGAGATGTAAAAAGCACTTTTTAATGATGTAAATTATACAACACCTAATTTTACATCTTCAAATTTGCATCATTTATTGGAGATGCTCTAAGGGCACTCCCAAGTCCGAGTGTAATTGTCCTCTATAGTTTTGTTAAACACAACGCACAAGTACCCTCCCATGCAAAACCCTCCCATGATATCTTAAAGAACAAAAATCAAAACACAACGTACAAGTAATACTCACGTGGTCACGAGTGCAAAACCCTCCCATGCACGCCATGCTGATCCTGTCTTATTCTTCTCAGGTTTGTTTATGTGTTTTCTGGCAGGGTACGTATATATAGAGCAAAACCACCCTGACCATTCACTCACGGAAATTCAAGTCAAGTAGCTAGCTAACGGCCTAAAACCTGTACGTGGCCATGGCGTACTTCAACGATAGTAGTAAAGTGTTGATGTGCCCGGGTCACACCGACATCGCACCCTACGTCGCCAACCTGACCTCCTCCTACTCCGACAAGAGCAATGAGTCCTCCGTGGTGGCCACCTCCGTCTTCATGCTCGTCCTCGCCGCCGTCTTCTTCAACCTCAACCTCTTCAGCCGCATCTCCAACACCAGCGCCGTCCTCAACCCCACAGCCCGCCTCATCCTCACCTCCGCGGTCTCGCTCTTCCTCCCCGTCATGTCCTACCTCTTTTCCGAGGCCAAAAACACCCCCGATGCCGCCGGCGCCAGCAAGGTCGAAGAGGACCTCCCGGTGCGGGCTCGGCTCATCCTCACGTGGATGCTTCTCGCGGAGCTCCTCCGCAAGAACGTGGAGGCCATCCCGACCACCGCGGCGATGCAGAAGGGCTACTCTATCATCATCGCCAACGCCAACGCCGTCGCTTGGCTTGGATACCTCGTCTTCTTCAACCTCAAGGGAGCCGGCCGGGTGGCGGTGTTCGGCATCCTCTGGCTGCTCTGCGCCGCCAAGTTCGTGCAGAGGGTCGCCTTCACCGAGATAGGGAAGCGTTCTTTCGCCTATGGCAAGAATGCTCGCCTCCTCTCCTCCTACATGGCTGAAATGGTAAAACGCCCGCCACATGTCCAGACGCCCACTCCGTCGCAGAGGTTGGAGATGTGCAACTACGTGGTCATGGGAGAAGAAAATCTTATGCTGAAACCCGGCTCGCATGGCTACGAGCTCGACCTCGACCGGCTCACCGCCACCTACGGCGACCACATCGGTGACCACATCGTCACCGTGGGGAAAATATGGGCACTCCCGCAGCAAGAGAAGAAACCGAGGCTCAAGAGGCTCAAAAGGCTGTGCCTCTCCTTTGCGCTCTTCAAGCAACTCCGGCCTAGGTTCGAGCTCCTGCGGGCCGCCACCAAGGAAGAAACCGACCACTGCCGGGACCTCATCTTCCAAGGGCTGTGCAGCCACGATCACACTGACCTCGAAGTCGAACCAGGGGTGGCACTGTTCCAGGTGCTCAAGGACGAGATCAGCTTCCTGAGCGAGTACTACCACTCCGTCCACCCGGTGGTGCTCGCCAGCCCCTACTTCTTCGTCATCAACTACATCACCTTCCCCGTCGTGGTGTTCGGCCTCTGCGTCATGACCGTCGCCCTCGCCGGCGACGGCGACATGCCAGAGGCCATCGTCAGCATCGGGCGGGACAACTACGCCATATCCTCCGGCATATTCACGCTCACCAAGTGCCTCTGGAGGAATTTCTTCCACACACCGGCGGCCTTCTTCGTCATCGTCGACATCTCCATCACCTACCTCCTCTTCATCGCCTTCGTCTACGAGCAAGTGTCCGAGTACATGGTCTTCGTCTTCTCTAACTGGTTCATGGTGTCGCTGCTGTGCAACTACGCCGCAAGGCCGCGCTGGCGCGACAGCACCACCTACCGTGGTATTCTCCGCCGCATGTCCTGGATCAGTAGCAAGCTGAGCCACCCCAGCCGTATCACCTTGAAGCAGTTCTCCGTGCTCAGGGTTAGCTGGCTCTCCATGACGCTGCCCACCACCTTCCTGCCAAGACAAGCAAAGAGCTCCATAATGGAACGCTTTCGCTTGGCGGCGTACGGCCATGACGGTAGCCCCGCCCCTCCTAGCAACGGCCAGTACGTGATAGACCATTGGCGGCGGCATACAGACTTGTCATGCTTCTGCGAGAGTAAGAGCGTGGTCGAGGTCATCCTCATCTGGCACATTGCTACCACCATCTTGGAGATAGAGTATCCAGGACGGCACAAAGCAGAGACCTCTTCGAGGCTGGTGGCCACGAGGCTGTCCAAGTACTGTGCTTACCTCGTGGTCATCCACCCAGAGCTGCTACCGGATGACCGTGAAGGCACGGAGCGCGTGTTGGAGGACATGAAGAGGGATCTCAAGGTGGCCGTCGGGGGTTGGTGGGCTTACTACACCGCGCCCGAGAGGGAACGGTACAACAAGATGATGGGGGCGCCCTTGCCGGACTGCCCGGCCGACAACATCCATAATGTGGTTCACAAGGGAACAAAGCTGGGGAGGAAACTAATGGAAGATTGCCGGAGAGATGAACGGCCCGTTTGGGAACTACTGGCCGACCTTTGGGTGGAGCTCCTTGTGTACATCGCGCCATCCGGTCGTGATGAGCACGTGAAGGGGCAGGAGGAGGCACTGGTGCTAGGCGGCGAGCTGGTCACCCTCGTCTGGGCGTTGGCCACGCACACCGGCGTAACCCGGCCACCGCCGACGTCGGTGGTAGTAGAGGATGTCGAAGGGGCGTCACGTCCTTCTATATTGGCCTAGCTACCTCGACGTACGCCCATCCTTGTGTACTTTACGTCATCTATCTAATATCTTATGAAAGGCATGTGCCTTCATCTTGTCTGATTTTTGAACTTTTGAATACCAATTTCCTGTACTATAACATTTCGTTGAGTGTAACATGAATCACAGCAAACGATTTGCCGATCAATTGGATTTTGTCCCCCTAGGCGTACTTTCGAAAAAAAAAGATGTGGTTACGTGGGGCACGCAAAGCAACACGATACGCCAAACGAGCTGGTCGGATGCTCGATCGTTTGTGCAGCAAACCTCTATCACGAATTTAACTGGCTGTGAAAAGTTTTATGTTGTCATATTGCTCAGGGCCTGAACTTGAAAGAATACAATATAGGCTACACTAGACTACTGGAGTACACGTACGGGTGTTTTTTGCCATGTAAATCAGAAATCACTGTATTTGACCACAGGATTATCACTAGATGCACAGAACCGAAAGTACATATCATGCAGCACGTGGTGATGTGAGACGTGTCCTCTTTCTCGTTTCTTCTCTTCCCTTGTGTTCTGTTTGAGACAGGCGACAGAGCAGGTGTCTCGGGCCCGGCCCGATCCCGTATCTTCGCCGCCGGCGACGCCGGTCGGAGAGGAGATGGGGGAAGAGCTCGGAGCGCCGCTGTAGATAGTAGATGTAGCCTAGCTGTTTCCTTGGTGGAGTTTGGCCTCGTGCCGGAGTTTGGCGTCATGCCGATCGGGACCTTGCAGCCGGCGCGCCTGAGCCGGCGCGCGGTGGTTTCCCGAGGGGCTCCTCATGGTGGTGGTGATTGGTTCGCTGCTGCTGGTCGGAATCAAGCCTGAGTCCTCGGAAATAAGCTCGATGACCTCCCTGGTGTGCAGGAATCCCCTATGCTCGCCTTCCGACCGGTCCCAGAGCGCATCATCGACGGTGTTTGTGTTTCTGCGCTCCCGGCGGTTAGCCGGTTTGAGCTCTTACATACTAATGAGCTTGGACCCAGCCAAAAAAATTAAGACCGTGTAAAAGGCCAAAACTGAAACCATGTTTTCATTGATGTAAACACTAGAATAAGGCTGCGTTTGGCAGCAAAGTTTTTTCATTGTTTTCTGAGAATACTGCGGTTTCTGAAAAAGACCAGGTTTTGAATACTTTGCTGCGTTTGGCATAAAAAAAACCAAAGTATTGTAAACCATGGTATGCTAGAAACCAACGTATTTTTGCAGTATCTGGAAAAGAGGTCCCGACCTCTTTTTTTTTTAAACAGAACAGAGAGAAATCATCGGGGAGATCACGATGACGTTGCCGTCTATGTCGAGATAAGAATCCAGCTGCGATCCCATCCTATTTTCCCTCTTTCTGTTATGGTAAACTCCTAGTTATAGCCAATCTCATCCTATTTACGAGTAGTAGGTCTCTCAGGTTTTTCTTCTAGCTGGCGTCCCGTGCGAGTCTTGTCTCTTCTCTGCAGCGCCATGAGCGAATCAAGCTCTCCACCACGGAAAAAAGGTATGAGCTCGTCTATGCCCTATAATTTTCGTTCTTAAATTATCTGTCCAGTCTGATCGTAACACTGCCGCAGGAGCTAGCATATAGATTAGAGATCATACGGCCAGATGGGATCACGGCACTGGTTAGTTTCATGTGATCTTGCACGCTTCTCCTTGATTCAGGTTATAGATGCAGCAGATTATAGATGCTAGCTAGCTAGCCGATTCGGTATGAATGGCGCACGTACACACACAAAGAATTTAATTAGGACCGGCTGGAGCTACAGGCATGTATATAGACATATAATGGCAACACCCTCCTAAGATTAATTCAATCTAGTTGACTGCTCCTACGATGGTATTACTTCAATCTAGTTGACTAATTAACTGAAGTTGTCATACGCTCTTGATAAATAATGTACCTCCTATTTAAATTAATCCAGCCATTGAAAGCCAGCTGATCGATCTGTTTCTTGCGCCTGTGTAGTTTGCATAGTAGTACACAAATCTGACCCTACAGGCAAACATGGTCCATTTTACTGAGCATGTAACTAGACTCCTGTTGAGTTGGTACATCATCTTTTGTTTACTGACACATCTTATTATCTTGTTGTAATTATCGGTAAATCTTTATCTAACTATAATGAACGCTTGCAGGGCCAAAACAGGACAGAGCTACATGGAATAATGGTCGCACTGGTTTTTTTGTGTCAATGATGAAAGAGTATGCAGATGTGGGAAGGTACCGTGGCCAAAATGGGTGGACCAAGGAAGGATGGCAAGCTATGAAAAACCGCCTTAATGAGAGGCATCCTGGAACTAATTTCACTGTTCAACAGCTGAAAGATAGAGAGCAAAGGCTGAAGAAGGAACTTAATGTTGTCAAGTCTATTGTAGAAAAGAGTGGTTTTGGTTGGGATCCTTGTTGGAAATATGCCCTAGAGGCAATAATAAATTAGTTATTATTATATTTCCTTATTCATGATAATCGTCTATTATCCATGCTAGAATTGTATTGATAGGAAACTCAGATACATGTGTGGATACATAGACAACACCATGTCCCTAGTAAGCCTCTAGTTGACTAGCTCGTTGATCAATAGATGGTTACGGTTTCCTGACCATGGACATTGGATGTCGTTGATGACGGGATCACATCATTAGGAGAATGATGTGATGGACAAGACCCAATCCTAACCCTAGCACAAGATCGTGTAGTTCGTATGCTAAAGCTTTTCTAATGTCAAGTATCATTTCCTTAGACCATGAGATTGTGCAACTCCCGGATACCGTAGGAGTGCTTTGGGTGTGCCAAACGTCACAACGTAACTGGGTGGCTATAAAGGTGCACTGCGGGTATCTCCGAAAGTGTCTGTTGGGTTGGCATGAATCAAGACTGGGATTTGTCACTCCGTGTAACGGAGAGGTATCTCTGGGCCCACTCGGTAGGACATCATCATAATGTGCACAATGTGACCAAGGAGTTGATCACGGGGTGATGTGTTACGGAACGAGTAAAGAGACTTGCCGGTAACGAGATTGAACGAGGTATCGGGATACCGACGATCGAATCTCGGGCAAGTATCGTACCGATAGACAAAGGGAATTGTATACGGGATTGATTAAATCCTCGACATCGTGGTTCATCCGATGAGATCATCGTGGAACATGTGGGAGCCAACATGGGTATCCAGATCCCACTGTTGGTTATTGACCGGAGAGTCATCTCGGTCATGTCTGCGTGTCTCCCGAACCCGTAGGGTCTACACACTTAAGGTTCGGTGACGCTAGGGTTGTAGAGATATTAGTATGCGGTAACACGAAAGTTGTTCGGAGTCCCGGATGAGATCCCGGACGTCACGAGGAGTTCCGGAATGGTCCGGAGGTGAAGATTTATATATAGGAAGTCCAGTTTCAGCCATCGGGAAAGTTTTGGGGGTAATCGGTATTGTACCGGGACCATCGGAAGGGTCCCGAGGGTCCACCGGGTAGGGCCACCTATCCCGGAGGGCCCCATGGGCTGAAGTGGGAGGGGAACCAGCCCCTGGTGGGCTGGTGCGCCCCCATGGGCCTCCCCTTACGCCTAGGGTTGGAAACCCTAGGGGTGGGGGCGCCCCACCTGACTTGGGGGGCAAGTCCCCCCCTTGGCCGCCGCTCCCTCTTGGAGATTGGATCTCCTAGGTCCGGCGCCCCCCCTAGGGGTCCTATATATAGTGGGGGGGAGGGCAGTCGCACCCAAGCCCTTGGCACCTCCCTCTCCCTCCGTGACACCTCTCCATCTCGTTGGTGCTTGGCGAAGCCCTGCCGAGATCCCGCTACTTCCACCACCACGACGTCGTGCTGCTGGATCTCCATCAACCTCTCCTCTCCCCTTGCTGGATCAAGAAGGAGGAGACGTCTTCCCAACCGTACGTGTGTTGAACGCGGAGGTGCCGTCCGTTCGGCGCTTGGTCATCGGTGATTTCGATCACGACGAGTACGACTCCATCAACCCCGTTCTCTTGAACGCTTCCGCTTAGCGATCTTCAAGGGTATGAAGATGCACTCCCTCTCTCTCGTTGCTAGATGACTCCATAGATTGATCTTGGTAATGCGTAGAAAATTCGAAAATTCTGCTACGTTCCCTAACAGTGGCGTCATGAGCTAGGTCTATGCGTAGATTCTACGCACGAGTAGAGCACAAAGCAGTTGTGGGCGATGATTTGTTCAATTTGCTTACCGTTACTAGTATTATCTTGATCCGGCGGCATTGTGGGATGAAGCGGCCCGGACCGACCTTACATGTATGGTTACGTGAGACTGGTTCCACCGACTGACATGCACTTGATGCATAAGGTGGCTGGCGGGTGTCTGTCTCTCCCACTTTTGTCGGATCGGATTCGATGAAAAGGGTCCTTATGAAGGGTAAATAGCAATTGGCATATCACCGTTGTGGTTTTGCGTAGGTAAGAAACGTTCTTGCTAGAAACCCATAGCAGCCACGTAAAACATGCAACAACAATTAGAGGACGTCTAACTTGTTTTTGCAGGGTATGCTATGTGATGTGATATGGCCAAAAGGATGTGATGAATGATATATGTGATGTATGAGATTGATCATGTTCTTGTAATAGGAATCACGACTTGCATGTCGATGAGTATGACAACCGGCAGGAGCCATAGGAGTTATCTTAATTTATTTATGACCTGCGTGTCAATGAAAACGCCATGTAATTACTTTACTTTATTGCTAACCGTTAGCCATAGTAGTAGAAGTAATAGTTGGCGAGGCAACTTCATGAAGACACGATGATGGAGATCATGATGATGGAGATCATGGTGTCATGCCGGTGATGAATGTGATCATGCCGCGCCTCGAAGATGGAGATCAAAAGGCGCAAGATGATATTGGCCATATCATGTCACTTTATGATTTGCATGTGATGTTTGTCATGTTTACAACTTATTTGCTTAGAACGACGGTAGCATAAATAAGATGATCCCTCGCTGAAATTTCAAGAAAAGTGTTCCCCCTAACTGTG